TAACGACCATCTTGGATAATGGATCAGCTTCAAAGTAATAACACTTGGTCAGCACCTCATAAGGAACATTCATGCCATGTTTGGTTTCATTCCATTCAGTGGTTTTCTTAAAGAAGACATTTGTATGTATTTCCCATACTGGGTCCAATGTTAAACTAAGTCCTCCGCTGGCTGCCATCTTAGATTATGGATCGGCTTCATAGTAACAAAACGTGGTCAGCACCTCATAAGGAACATTCATGCCATGTTTGGTTTCATTGCATTCAGTGGTTCTCTAAAAGAAGACATTTGTATGAATTTCCAAATGGGTCCTATGTTAAACTAAGTCCCCCGCTGGCGGCCATCTTGGATTATGGATCGGCTTCATAGTAACAACACTTGGTCAGCACCTCATAAGGAACATTCATGCCATGTTTGGTTTCATTCCATTCAGTGGTTCTCTAAAAGAAGACGTTTGTATGTATTTCCCATAGGGTCCCTTGTTAAACTAAGTCCCCCCGCTGGCGGCCATCTTGGATTATGGATCGGCTTCAAAGTAACAACACTCGGTCAGCACCTCATAAGGAACATTCATGCCATGTTTGGTTTCATTCCATTCAGTGGTTCTCTAGAAGAAGTTCAAAATGTAAAATGTTAACGACGACGACGGACGACGACGGACGACGTACGACGAACGCCAAGTGATGAGAAAAGCTCACTTGGCCCTTCGGGCCAGGTGAGCTAAAAAGCAGCATTCAATTCTATAATAATGCAGAATCGTAAAACCTATCATGTCTCCGGTTGTTGAAATTAACATATATTAGATTAAGGAAATTAAATCCTTTATCTAAAGACTTTTTACATTATATATTATTTCACTAATACTTCTACATTTTAAGTCTTACTGACTTTGAAACTTTGAAACTTTTGAAACTTGTTATTTCACTAAAGGCCTCACATGAGGCATGATAGTACAAACAATACAATATAACAAATATAATGCATGAACAAAATTAAACATATGTACATGTACAGAATTATCCAGGAAGGTAAATATCACGTAAATATTCACTTAAATATTGACATTACAATTTTACAAAATTTAGACAAGCCAACAAGAGTGTTTTTATCATTACTATATATTAGTTCATAGAAACTATCAACAAGTTTAACTTTACATTATATCTCTGCAGGTAAAAAATTTTGTCTCTCTACATTGAAAAAAGTACAGTTAAATATATAGTGGAATTCATCACCCAGTTCTTCTTTATTACATAAATCACAAACTCTTTCTGACATATCTATACTAAAATATCTACCACATTCAATGGATAATCTATGACTACCACATCTAAATTTACATAAGTTGTGTCTTAAATCAAAAGGTAATACAGTTAAATAATTTTCCATACCAAATTCAGCCTTATACATTTGTAATTTAAACATTTAGATGAATTGAATATTTTAGTCTTCCAATCATTTTCAAATAAATCATGGTAATACTGTTTCACATTTTTAGATAAATTACAATACTTTCCAACAAATTGATTGACAGTGCTATTTGGTATGCAAATGTATACACAGGTAGGTTTCCTTTGCATCTACCCTTTTTCTTTTTTATGTTGATATTATAGATCATAATATCGGAACAATCTATAAGGTTCCTTTTGAAATATTTTGACAGTTCCATTCAAAGTTAATCTAACGATTTGTTGGTTCCGGTCTTTAAAATAAAGGGGACAAAATGACCCAAATAATGTCAGAGGCATTATAGTTTACCGAGCAATCTTGCAATATTGTTAACAGCTATCATAAAGAGCAGACTTATACAGTGGGCCGCAAGCAGCAACATTCTTACCGATGCGCAATTTGGTTTTCGTCAGAAACACGGGACCGTTGATGCAATTTTTGTACTTCAGTGTATAAAAAGTAAAACATTAGCTATGAAGAAACGCCTCTTCTGTTGTTTCGTTGATTATAAGCGAGAATTTGACAGTATTAATAGAACGATCCTCAGGATTCGGGGAAAATTGTTAAACACTACGTTAAATGTATGAATCTACAAAGGCTTGTGTAAAATTCAAATGATCGTATTCTGATTTTTTTTAATAAGGTCGGTCTCCCACAGGGCGAGGTTTTATCGCCATTACTATTCTCATTATACGTTAATGATTTCGAAATTTCTTTTCTCAAAAGCGTTAAAAACGGATCTGTGCCTTATTGATGTATGTGGACGATATGGTGTTATTTGCGGAGTCACCAGAAGGTCTACAATCTATGTTTGAATCTTTAGAATCATACACAACAAATTTCGATTTAACTGTAAATATTGATCAGACAAAAAAAGTTGTATCCCCTTACTGGGGGTATTATTCGAGAAGATGAACAATTATTTTACACCGACAAAAGTATTGAAAAGTGGACAAGTTTTGTTATCTAGGATTCATTTCAAACTTCAACGGAAAATTTACAAATGCACAAAAGAAACTTGCTGAACAAGGAAAAAAATGCTGTTTGCACTGCTTTCTATTAATTGCAGAAACTGTCATCTGTACGTACATACTCTCGTCGTCTTTTGATATTTACGTTGGTAGTGTTTTAACTTATGCCTGTGAAGTCTGGGGATTTTCAAAAGCAGAATGGATTCGAACAAGTTCATTTATGTTTTTGTAAAAGATCAATCAACCAAAACGACTATGGTGTGTTGTGAGCTGGGATGAATTCCCTTAATAGTGAAACGTAAACTGCAGATTTTTAAATATTGACTCAAACTTTTGAACACAAATAACTTTATTCTGAAACGTGTCTAAGAGGAACTAAGAGCTCCTTGCGCAAATACAATTCGCAGGTCGATGAATTGGGTATAACTGATTAAGGTTGAATTACACAACATGGGATTAGGTGAATTGTGGCTATGCCAGACTGAACTGGTATTTGAAAACGCTTTTCACTAATAAAAACAGCGTCCAATAGATGTAAAACACAAGAACTATATTCTTTGTTGGAAAACAGTAGCAAGTGTGTTACTAAGTTTACAGAAATATCATCACAAACATTGATTTACAATATTACTTGTCTAAATATATTCCTCCTTTATACCGGAAGGCTATTACAAATAAAAAGACTATCTTCACATTCATTAAATATCGACACTGGTCGTTTTCTAAATGTACCTGTAGTTGATCATTTATGCAAAGTATTTGGACAATGTATTGAGGACGAGTTCCACTTCATTTTTGTTTGCTCGGCATACAGAACCTTGCGGTTAAAATTTATAAAACAATACTACTGCATAGACCGAGCGTATTTAAATTGATTCAGTTGTTTGGTCTACAAAATGTTAAACTGTTGACTTTTAAGGGAAAATTATTATCCTGGCTTTTAAAATTAGGGACAGTATTTTACAAATATATTTTTTTTACATTCTCTGTCTACATGCTTTATTGCAAGTATAACTGTTATATCATGTATACACGGATGAGCTGTAAAGCTTAAGGTAATAAACTATATAGTATACCCACAGAGGAAGTTGGCATGAGTGAGCGATTCAGATTCCATCAACCCACTAACTTAATTATTAATATCAAAGTTAATTAGCAAATACATTTCCCGGTTTTCTTTTTACATTTTGATTCTATGATTAGGATAATACAAAACCGATCGAAGTAATTTGATACAATTTACTAGTTTACTCTAATATTTATGATAGTTGTGTCTGAATAAGGTTTTCTCCCTTCTTGTATTGTCACTCTGGATTTTTTGTTTTGACTGACACTAGAATAAAAGAAGGCATGCATGCGTCATGAGACAACAATCAAATGAAGAAAAACAACAACCAAAAGGACGCCCATATGAATGCCTGTTACTTTCTAGACATATTTCCTATTTGGTTCTTTCAACCGAGTCCCTCAGCCCTATGGTTGGTCCTAACTGTTGCACTCATGTGGACAATATACAAATAGAAGTAAACAGTCATATAAGTAGCTTTAATCTTAAAGATTGAATTGTTGTCGATATATACAAGTATATTGATTATAATTAGATTAGTTTCAATTTTTATTCTTAATTGTATCTTTTGAACTGGTATTTGACATTGTTAAAAAGTATTCATTTCTCATTTGAAAAAATTAAGTTAGAAAGATTGTTACACATGTATATAGAGGGTCTACGCTTATCGTCTTTTATCGGGCTATATATATAGATAACGTCACACTCAATTTATAAATACACTTGCAACAAGAAAAGAACAAAAAAAAACGAAAACGTGATATTGCAAAAACGAATACTGTAATCATGTAAACACGAAATAAAGAAAATGCGAAACTAAAACCATGTCTACTTTTCTCACTCTATTTCGGTTTCTCCTTCTTACGTTTTCGCGTGTTTTTTTTTTTTTTTTTGTGTGTGTATGTGTGTAAGTTAGATTTTGTTTTACTCAAAAAAATGCCAAGGTGAAAATCATAATACAGTGATGACTGATATAGTTGTAGTATAACGGACTATAATATTACTAGAAGCCATTTTAATAAAAAAATAAGCTTCTGTTAATAGTTTCCTTAGAAATGTAATCACAACTTTACTTTTAGATGTCCTAGATTTTAAAAAAAGGTAATTTTTGTAGAAAAATAACAATTGTCAACGATTGCTGAATAATTCATGATAAGATCCAATATGAAGATAATAAAATATCCAATTGCTGTCCTGTAGATATAGACTGTCCTTAAAGCCTAAAGAACATGTTGTTCAAATGTTTCTAACAAGTTTATAAAACATGATTTTTTTTAAATCATGTGCATTATACGTTATCAATACGCATTGTACAGTTACGAACAAAACAACAAAACTCTCATATATCTAGATACAAAAATCGAATTTCGAATTCATAAGCGTTTTGTTTTAACAAACAGGATGAAAAGCAAATGAAAAAGGCAATAAAATTACGGTCGTATATACATCTCTAATTCTAAAAAGGAGAATATTTTGATATTTAATAATTCATAATTTTAACGACAGCCCTTTAGTCGATTTTTCAACGCATGGATTTGTTATTGATGAAAATTATCTATACTTTACATTAATTTGCGATCCACGATGCAGGTGTAATACACCTAAGGATAGTCTTGTTTTATAGAGCATAAGAAAATTCACTGTGAAGGGTCCGAATAAGCATGGTTTAACGGGTGGTTTTGAGAGCCATGTACCTATTTATGTGGCTTTTTCTCGTTGGTAAAGTCAAATCAACTACTACACCTTCCTCTGTGAGTTATGACACAGTAGAGGAGAGCTATGAATTAATTTCCGAAGGTAAGTGTTAGTTATATGTCATTTCCCTGTAGGATCAATGTGCTATCTCTTGATTATGAAAAATTGTCTATCCAAGTTTTGTAAAACAATCGAATTTCGAATTCATAAGCGTTTTGTTTTAACAAACAGGATGAAAGCAAATGAAAAAAGGCATTACAATTACACTCGAATATATGTAACAGTGAATTTTTAGAATTAGGGATTATGTTTAATCACTAGTAACTTTAGTGATTATATATAATTACTAAATGTTTTAGGAGTTATGCATAATCAGAAGAAAAAATGTCAGGGATTATACATCATAACTTGAATGAAGAGACAATGAATAAAAGCAAAATAATTTATTCTATAAAATCATATTTAAACATCCTTAGAAACATAAATATTAAAAGCTTAACGTTTTCTGTGCCACGGGCCGATTTTAGGCCGATTTGTAAATACTACGTTGACTGCCACGGGCCGATTTTCGGCCGATGTTTTTTTCCTTACGTCAAACAATAGGCTTCAGTGACGTTGCCTCTTTTGTGTACTATGGGAGTGGCTACACAGACGAAGAACTGTGCCGTAACAACACGTAACGTTATGCATGCAAAGTGCTTTCAAATTTTCATGTTAGTTGCGTCGGCCATACTTTTATAGAGTATATCAGAAGTCCATTACTAGACTAGTAATGGACTTCCGAGTATATATATAAATTATTTCAATTTGTTTTCATTTTGTGGACTTTCTGCTGATTTTTCTGTTTTGTTTTATATAAAAAAAAATCATATTAAAGAAATGGAGAAGTTTCACTCATTAATGAGGGTGGTAAAGGGTTATTTTCGTGCAACGTGTTTTGCCATTTTATTTCACGTGCAGTCGTGAAAAAGTATCGTTATTCACCGTGTTTCGTGAAATCGGTAAAAAGATCAACGTGCAATAAATTTTCAATTGTTCGTTCATCGTGAAATGGCAATTTTATTTCGCGTTCTTCCGTGCAGATACCCCCCTTTACGCCCCTCATCAATGATAGCAGTCGAAATGTTTAATTACTGAAACCAATTTTGTTGCACTGTATTTGCACGTTTCATGAAATAATGAATCTTCAGTAGTGGTCCAGATCCGAATTATGGAATTATCAAACAAACAAGAAGCCTAAAAACGTTCGAAGAGCGATTTCATATACCAGAATGACCGAAATATCAATTAAATTTACCATCTAGGGATAAGTAAACTTGAGTAATTAAAGTGCTTGTCGTGATCCTACAGAGTCATATTTATGTGAGGGGATGGGGATTTGATGCATTATCAATCATTTATTCATGTAAGTGTGGTGGATTGTCTTATGTTCTCACTTCTCCATTTTAAAACGATACCTGGTATTACAATAAAAACGTTTTTTTTTATCAGAAACATATAATATATTTTTAATCAAGATTCAACTCACTAATGATTATCTTTACAATCCCGGCGCACACCCTTACGACATACTCGACACACTGTCCTACTCCTCCTTCGACCCCCGTAACCATTCCTGTCTGAACATACATCACAATCTTTCTCTCGATGACCGGGCAACTTCCTTATTCCATTTTTATTCTTATTTTGTCTAAATTGTCTTGATTTTCGTTTCTTTGCATCATGTGGTCTTTGACGAGATCCTCAATAAGCTGCTGCGTGAAAGCTAATCTTGACAGTTTAAGGTTATCCGATGTATTTTATTGGTATAATGTGTATGCATTGATAACCATACGGTGCATAAGATTAAACAACTACCTTTTTCCATACTTTTAAAGTTTTTCGTCCATCATTATAACTCTCTGTCATCATATCCATAGGTACTTGGGGACAGGACAATTTTTTTTTTTGGCCCTCTCCCTTTTTTCCAAAATCCATTATTTTATCGTTTTCTATTAATTTCAATTATTTTCGCGTTTTTCCTGTTTTATAAGAACATAAAATGATAAATATACTATAAATAACTTGTATTTGCTATTTACTATCAATTCCATGTTTACTATCCACAGCTGTTACTGGTGTCTATATTTTTTGGAAAATAGGGGAAGGTAAAAAAAATCGTCCTGTCCCCAAGTACATGTACCTATGATCATATCAGCCAAATATATGATTGCTTTATAAGTGCTTGAAATGAGTCCAAAAATTTACACAATGTTACTGGGGTCATCAACATCAACAAAAACTTCTCAAAAAAATCAATTTGTCGACACAAAAATGAAAAAGAATGTGTCCACACTACACGGATGCCCCACTCGCACTATCATTTTCTATGTCCAATGGACCGTGGAATTGGGGTCAAAAATCTAATTTGACATTAGAATTAAAAAGATCATATCATTGGGAACATGTGTACTAAGTTCCAAGTTGATTGCACTTTAACTTCATCAAAAACTACATTGACCAAAAATTTAACCTGAAGCGGGACAGACGGACGAACGACCGGACGCACAGACCGGAAAACACAATGTCCCTATAGGTGTGGCATAAAAATGTTGTAAAAACGAAAGTCGCGTGAATCTTTTCACCTAAAAACAATGAAAAATTAGTACGATGTTAAAATTTTGATCTTATTTTTCTGTAATGACCAATTTGAAAATAACTTACTTTTGATTTTTGAGTATTGTTTGGTTGAAATCCACATTGTCGCCACAAAAACGAAAATTTCCCTTAAACCCGGGGATTCATTTTAAGATTATATTTTATAAAAAATTGCTATGTATGGAAAGAAGTGGTGCTTCGTTTGTGTTGTTCAGTGTATATAGGAAAAAATATGTTTTTCTCCAATAGCGAGAAAAGAAGGACAGTGAATGCAAGTTTTCTTTTAGAATATCAAAGTAAATATGATATAAATTGTCCTTTTTATGCAGTCATAAAAAAGCTATATTTATTGATTTTTTAATTGCAGGAAAATGTCGAATTTTCTCTGTTTAACTAATGTAAAGTTTACCAGAATTTAACCGCAATCACTGCCAATTATATATAACATACGAACGAAAGGATACATGTGCATTTTAAATCGAACTTCTAAATTGCATCCATCTAAACATTCTCTCTTTCAAAAAATTAAAAAAATATATCTGCTGTAAAAAAAAAAATAAAGACCGCAGAGTGAACAAATACGGTGTTTAATTCTCTTGATTTTGCCGCTTTTATTTTTCGCAATAAAAATTTTATTGAAACTTTTTTTGCAGCACGATTCGAAGATAACAGTTTTTAATTTGGTAAATTTCTTTATTATACAATCCCATAACTCGGAAACGTAAAATCTAAAATTTATAAAAAAAAAAAAATAAGGGAGCTCACGTCAATAGATATTAACAATTCACCAAAGTTTTATGCAAATTGGTTAAAGCGATTTTGAGGTAATATCCGATTTGTTGACGACAGACGGACGGACGGACAGCGGTATACCATAATACGTCCCGTAAACGGGCGTATAAAAAATACACTCCTAGATTATCAAATAATCAAATAATCATGAAATATTTGGTCTGGTAATCAAATAATCATTAAAAAACGTCCAAGTAATCACATAATTAAAAACCCCGTGAGGAAGCTCAACTATCAACTGTTTGAGCGCTGTGGAACCATCTCTTCGAATTTAACAAGAAATAAAAAAGTTAAAACCTACCTATGCCCCTGAGATTTTTAATAAAATTATTACCGAAAAAGTACAATTTACTTCTACGTATACGGAAGCAAAACTTCTCAAAATTGCCGTTCAAATGCAATCACTGAAAGACGTCGTACCCTTTTACGCAAAATCTTATGACGCGACGTTATTGTTATCGTCACTGACGGCAATATTCTTGTGTACTTTAGAAAAAAACAAGCTTGGCAGTAAAAGGAAAATTGCGGAATATTCCCTGGCACTGAAAGAGTTAAGCACAATATTATAATACAAATCATTTATTTTTACAAACTACATTTGTAAATTTCGATGATATCTTCTACTGAAGAAGGTATGGATTTGGGGGTGTCCCTCATTTCTTTATTCTTTAATAATTTAATTTTGGATGTAACGCGTCTTCTGATTGGTGACGTTGTTTTGTTTATCAGCTCATAGACATAATTTTGTTATGTGACCGTGACGTCATCAACGTTTTTCATGGTTTACTCCGGTTTAAAATGGAATTTAGAATTAAATTATAAGAAATGACTGTAATATTTTTTCTGTCTATTTATTTTGCCCATTAGTCTCTATTCTGTATATTTAAGCACCCTTTTATTCTTTATTCTTTTTTTTTCCCCCATTTTTGTTTGATTCTTTATTTTTTTAGCACTTTATTTCTTTATTTTGCACTGGTTGTACATTGTTCTTTATTCTGTAAACCCCATCCAGACTCTCTACTATTGAATTGTTTTTTTATGCAACAAAATAAACCTAAACAAAATTCTTAGCCTTCAAATATTGAATCTGCTTTTACTGCACATTGAAGAGAAATAAAAGAACAAAATTCCAATGTCCCCCGCGTTGCACATATTTTATCTATGCAGGGGCAATAAATACAAAAAAAAAACACTTTTTTTTTGTTGTTCTTTAAAACAATTTATAAATAAAAAGCGTGCACGGGGGACAAAAAAGTTTTTTTTATTGTATACTAAATATTTCAAACAGACCTTTAAGCGCATTACTTATAGTATACTATAAGTTTTATAAAAAAAAATGTACCCGTGAGAGCGCTAACGAGGCCATTTTCCATAAATTTAATATTTCCAAGGGTTATATAACTCTTTTAAAAAAAGTCGATCGTCCACCATTATAGAACTTGTCCGAGATATTGCTGATATTAACCTATAGTATAAGTTTTATAAAAATCGGGCAAGAATTGTACCTGTGAGAGCGCTAACAAGACCGGACGGACGGACGGACGCCCGGTATTTCCATGTCCCCCGCAACGCGTTACGCGGGGTACAATAAAGTGTTCATTAGAAACATCTGAAGGTACTAGAAAGGTCAATCAGATACCTCAAATTGATTTCTTGTGTATTATCTGAGCATAATTTCATGTTTCGTAGTCAGTCATTATCCTTTTCAGCCCTTTTATGAACGATGGACATTATATTTTTGGGGTTTCCCTTTCCACGATCAACATGCGGAATCGGCATCACAGCCTCCTCCAAAATTATGTTCAATCTGTCAAGCATGTGTTCTGTTTGTGTTTCGAGACGTTTTGTTGCATTTCTATGCTAAGTTTGAATTAAAATTGAGAATGGAAATGGGGAATATGTCAAAGAGACAACAACCCGACCAAAGAACAGAAAACAGCTCAAGGCCACCAATGGGTCTTCAACACAGCGAGAAACTAAGCAAAATGACAATGATACATAAATTAACAAAGGACTACTAGTTACTGTAGTTAGACATGCCAGCTCCAGATCTCAATTAAACTGATTGAAAGATTATGTCTTCATCATATGAAAATAAAGCACAATCTCTCCCGTTAGGGGTTTAGTATCATACCATCATAAAATATATGAGAAGACCATAACCCGTATCATGCCTACAACTGGTTTCATGTTTGTTACCTTTCATCCCCTTTGTTTTACAGCAAATTACATAATCTGTACATTTATGTTGGTATTATTAATTTCAATTTAAAATACTGTTTTGTTTATGAGTTACTGTGGTTTACCACAGTTAAATAGAATATCACCAGAAAAACTGTCCATTTTAATAAGATTTGATAAATGAACAGGGAATGAAAACAGAGAATCTTTGTATTATAGATAATCCCTAAAATCATTTGAGGGAATTTGTAGAATAATTCTTAAAGTTTTCAGTGATTATGTAAAATCACTAATCATTTTCAGGGAATATATATAACCACTAATGATTTGAGTGATTTTGCAAAATCCCCGAAAAATCAGGGATTCTACATAATCCCTGATTATACAAATTCACTGTAACATATACATCTCCAATTCCAAAAAAGGAGAATATTTTGATGTTTAATAATTTATAATTTTAACGACGGCCCTTTAGTAGATTTTTCAACGCATGGACTCGTTATTGGTGAAAATTATCTATACTTTACATTAATTTGTGATTTCATAGACTGCGCATGAATAATGCCATGGAAAAAGAACTATGTCTTTTCATTAACAAAATACGAGAAAAAAAAAATCAATCACAATTTTAAATCTATATGATTCTTTTGCAAAAGTTTCCTCCAACTCCGTGATGAATTAAAAAAAATTTTTTTTTTTAAATTTAACTTTTACTCTAGACTGTATCTAACTGTTAACAAAAACAAGGTATTTCAGAATACGGTGGAAAAATAAAAACATATTTACAAAGGTATATATATTGCTTCATCTTCATCATGACGAAGCTTCTGTCCAAGTTTCATAAAATTCATTGAAAACTGTATAAACAACTTTAACCCCAGACTAAATCTAAAAGTTAACTGCCAAACAAACGAAGTTCATTTATCAATAAAATAATGAAAAAAAAAAGTTCGACCCTCTTTCGATCACGACGTTTTCAATATAGGTTTGAAAGAAAGAAAAAAAACTTTAACCGCAGTCTGAACCAAAATGTTGATGTCGACATGACGAATTCACGACGACAGAATACAGGACAGCTATGTCTCTTTTCCACAACTTTCGTAACTGGCGAGACAATAAAGAAGTAAACATAACCAAATATTTAAAGATGTTATTACATATACTGGAATTAATTTTTGCGTATGTTTATCTTCCTTCTTCTATATTTCTGACTTTTATTTTCCAAAATTCAAATAGTCGATTGTAAAAAATAAATTCAGTCAGAAAACTGCAAACTTTGCCACACCATAAATTTACTAGAGGTAATAATCAAAAGAGCGCGAAATTCCTTTTTTAATAACTGAAGGTAGCAGTGTTATATGACACCGGAAAGTTTTTGTCTTCTGTAATACGAATTGATTGTGTCATCTTCTGTTATACGAATTAATAGTGTCATCTTCTGTTATACGAATTGATTGTGTCATCTTCTGTTATACGAATTGATAGTGTTATCTTCTGTAATATGAATTGATAGTGTTATCTTCTGTTATACGAATTGATTGTGTCATCTTCTGTTATACGAATTGATTGTGTCATCTTCTGCTATACGAATTGATAGTGTTATCGATAGTGTTATCGTATGTTATACGAATTGGTAGTGTTATCGATAGTGTTATCTTCTGTTATACGAAGTGATAGTGTTATCGTCTGTTATACGAATTGATAGTGTCATCTTCTGTTATACGAATTGATTGTGTCATCTTCTGTTATACGAATTGATTGTGTGATCCTCTGTTATACGAATTGATAGTGTTAATAGCCGCATACTATTCTAAAACTATCTTGTATGGCAAGCTGGTCTCTGTTTAAAGAATTCGTATAACAGAGGATCACACTATCAATTCGTATAACAGAAGATGACACAATCAATTCGTACAACGGAAGTAATTATATATATCACAGGATCAATTTCGGTTTATGAAAACGGTTAATATTGTTGAATATTTGGGTGTTTTTTTTATCTTAATCATCTGTATTCAAGTATACCAAAATGGTGTAGAATACATAGAAATTTACAGAAAAAAACAATGATTATTATAAACACTGAAAAACCGTCATGAATATAGAACAACAACAACCATCGAGGGTAAGTTCGAGATCGACATCGATCGATTTGTGTTTGAGTTTGATGGATGACAGGAATAGTTTTTCTGACGGAATACTTATTTTTTGACCTATTGCAAGACTCGCTAATTGTTTATGCGAGGCAAAGCCAAGCGAAATTTTATTTTCTATTACGTATTCAATTATTTCCTGAAAATGGGTGCATTTAGTGTTTCAAAATAGTCAATTTCACCTGGTGTCATGGGCAAGATTATTCATTTTCAGTTCGTACCACGCCTGTATATTCATTTTCAAGATCCTCCTGCCCCCTCGAAGAATCTATATCAAATGCTCGTTCTCTTTTACAACTTATATTTTCACTTTTTACAGATTTATTAAGAGTGCATTCTAGTTCTGATGTATCGTATCACAGTTTATGGAACAAGGTTGGTTTTAATGGACACGACACAGACGATAATAGAAGACGAGAAATAATTGATGACTGGAACGAATTGAGACCTCTAACTGTAGGTAACATTATCTGATACACCCCAATTACAATGGTTGGAAATGCTTTTTCTTCTAAGTCTTCGTTCATTGATACTGGCTCTGGCCATTTTGGATTTTTTTTTAAACTCATACGATGCTGAATTGTCGTGAGTGATTTGCCGCCAATTCTATTCGAGAAACGTACTGTCACATAAAGGGGAAGTTCGGTGCAAAATAAAAAAGTTTTATGCACTGTCTTTTCAGTGGAATTTTCCACTACAAAATCAGAAATAATGATACTAGTAATCAATTTGTTTTTAAATTCCAACTCTATATTGCAATTACCTTTTCCGCATGTTCGCCCAACACATATATTCGTCACACTAACTTTTCTCTTTGAAACTACAGAACAGAATTACTTCATATTTGGTCAGCAACTTAACAGTGATCGGTTTTACTTGTGAGCGCTTTTAGAATCTGTCAGATACATACTTCCTGTTTGCCGATACTTTGAATTTTTTTAATAATTTAAACTTAAATTTGCATCACATGCATATTTCTGCAATATTACTGAACAGAATTATTTCATATTTGGCAACCAGCTCAACAGTAATGCGTTTAACGTGTGTGCTCTTTTCATATCTGTTATATTCCAATACCTTTATTACGAGTTGCGGTATGCTTAGCACGAAAATGCACTAATTCTTGTTTGTAATGTTATTAATTTGGTTTTTAATTTAATAAAATTTTATTGCATTTATCAAGCAATAGGATTGGACACAGGTTATAACAACTTATATTAAGTCCTCTCCTTACATATACAATACACATATATGATGACAGCAAACACAAACATAATATAGCGACAGTTATAGAAAATAAAGGAAGGAGTACATTTGCATTGCAACAAAAAAGCAAATAGGACAGAAAGAATAAAGAAAGCTGCTGACTTAGAACGTTAAAATCGTTTTGACTGTTTAATGAAATAACGAACTTTATCAAAAATTTAAGAGTTAGTTTCGTAATTATATGCATCTTTTCCAAACAATAGCGTTTCAATATCAATGTGTATGTTCATATTTGTAAGATCATTAATCAGAGATATTCTTTGGTTATAATATAATTGACATTCTAGAAAGTAATGGATGGCATCTTCAACAGGAGAACCGCAGGAGCATTTAGAATTATTCACTACATTTATCTTATTTAAGTCTGCATTTAATGAACTGCACTGGTGCCTTAGTCTTGTATGCAGTATATTTAATTTTCTAGGCTCTTCACCATAATATGTTGGAGGTCTAAATAGTTCACCCTTTATTTTTCGTTTAAATTGTGGGATAGTTGGTGCGTTTCTTATTGTTGGATTTAAATTATTCCATATTCTGACAGTAGATGGTACGAATGACTTTTCAGTTATTCGTAGTCTACATCTAGGGGGTATATAATTATCATTATTTCTTAGGTTGTATCCACTGACATCAGATGTAACTGGAGGTAGACAGTCGATTAAATATTGGGGACAAAATTTATTATGCATTTGATAGAAAATTGTTAATTTTCGTTGTCTAAGCCTTTCTGCTAAAGTTTCCCAGCCCGTTTCAAAATATAAGGATTCTAAACTTGAAAATTTTGTAAGCCCTGTTACTATCCTTGAGTCTTCCAATTGTATTTTTTCTAGTTTATTAGATTCATATTCAAAACACCCATCCCATACTTCGCATCCATATTCCAATAGTGGTCTTATTAAAGTGACATAGATAAAGGATAAGCTTTTTTTGGAAAGTGTAAATTTTAGTTTCCTTAGTACATTTACTTGTTTTAATGCAGACTTTGTAATGTTATCTATATGGCTAGTCCAGTTTCCATCTGATGAAAGTGTGACACCTAAATGCTTGTGACATTTAACAGTTTCAACGTTTTCACCATTAAATTAAATATTCATTACTGGTGGTTTAACATTTGCAATCACCAATGCTTTTTTTTTGCTATTACTATTTGCCAGTGATTATGTATTGGTTAGATAATACCTTGTCATGTTTTATGAATACTTAAAGCCTGAGGTGTAGCTGAGAGTTTATAATGTTCATAAAACATGACCAGGTATTGTCTGACTAATTTAGAACATAGTCACACCTTCGAGTGACAAAACAAAATTACTAATAGCCTCTCTCATTGTAATAACCAAACCTAATATGAGCTCACTTTAAGCGTCAACATGGTTAGTAAAAGGGGTGTAAATCATATTTAATGGTCAGATGGAATGAAATAGCAATGAGATAGTTTTGTGATAACAAAAAAGGTTATATTATTTAAAAAATGGAGAACTCTTCTGCCTCAGGCACAATTTAATACTTTTATATCTAAAATTCCTTCATTTAAAAAAACACACTATGTTATATAAATCAGCTATTCTATAATTGTATAATTTTTGATAATGACAAAACTTCATTCATAAATTTTAAAATTACAATCGTTTCAACATCAAATGCTTACTTTTTTTTTATTGATGAATGTATTTGTTTTTGTCGAGCCTGCGACATTTATGTCTCGAAAGCAAGACATAGCCATCCTAGACTCCGTCGTCAGCGTCGGCGTTGGCGGCGTCAACATTTAGGCTCAGTCTGTGGTTACAGTTTTTTTTTAGACATAAATAACTTTGTCTAACCTTCATGGAATTGTAGGAAATTTAGACAGGAGCTTGTTTATGACCACAGTACAGTATCCAGAGCAAAATTTTGAAAATATTTATTTTCATTTTTCCGTATTTTACTGATAAATGAACTTAGTTTTTTTATAGTTATCATTCCGATTTAGTCTGAGGATACAGTTTTTCAGTCATCATTAACTTTGTCAAACCTACATGGAATTTTAGGAAATTTGGAAAGAAGCTTGTTTGTGACTAAAAGACAATACCCAGAACAAAACTTTGAAAATAATTTATTTTCATTTTTCCGAATTTTACTGATAAATGGACTTAGTTTTTTTTTTACAGTTAACAAGTAGATAAAGTCTGAAGTTAAAGCTTTTCAGTCATCAATAAATTTGTCAAACCTTGACAGATGTTTAGTTATGACAAAAATACAGTATTTAGATCAAAATTTTGAAAATATTTATTTTCATTTTTCCGTATTCAACTGATAAATGGACTTAGTTTTGTTTTTTTTCCTTTTAGAAGTAGATACAGTCATGAGTTAACATTTGTTACACATCAATTACTTTTTCAGACCTTCATAGAATTTTATGAAACTTTGGCAGAAGCTTATCTATGATTAAGAGATAATGTCTGACGCAAACTTTTGTTTTTCTCAATGTACCATTATATAACGTTTACAATACTGAAAATCTCAACTTAGAACATAATCACCCATTCTCGTCCAATGGATAATCAGTATTTTCCCTACTATTTTTCATAGTACATGGCTTTCCATGCACTATAAAATGCTACACTTGAATGACTTTTCATTGTAGATTTATGACGATGGGAGTTTTTAACGACCTTGACTGGCTATACAGCCCTCGCACGGTCGGTATTGTAGATTTATTATGAAAATGAACTCTTAACAATTGCACAAACGAAGTGTACAACCCCCAAGGTAATGTGCAATTGAAAAGAGCAAAAGAAAAAAAATCACGAGTACTGTTGTTTGTCTAATTACCCAGTATTATAAATTAAATCAGAAGAATAGAACTGCAAACGCTATTTAAGTTGAGATTTCAACATTGTAAATGTTTTTTAATGGTACATATATACACCACCCCCAAAAAAAAGAATTGAAAAGGGGGCAAAGGTGTAGGTAAAATAAATGTAATATTTAATATATTTTTTATACCACACCTCAAACTCAATGTTTTAAGAAACAATGACTGTTTATAAAAAAAATTAAGGGAAGGTTTTGAAAAAAAACCAATACACTCATCAATAAAAAAGTAAGCATCTGATGTTGAAACGATTGTAAGTTAAAATTTATTGTCCTTATTAAAAAAAAAACAATTTTAGAAAAGCTGATTTATGTAACATTTTTTGCTTTTTAAAATGAAGAATTTTAAATATATAAGATTAAATTGTACAAGAAGCAGAAGAAATCTCCATTTTTGAATAATTTATCCTTTTTTGTTATCACAAAACTATCTCATTGCTTTTTATTCCAGCTGTTGAAATGACCATTAAATGATTTACATCACTTTTACTTCACATGTTAACACTATCAAAGTTTAATTATTACAATGAGAGGCTAATTTTGTTATGTCACTCGAAGGTGTGAACATGTTCTAAATTGGTCAGACAATACTTGGTCATGTTTAATGAACATTTAAACCCCTCGGCTACGCCTCGGGCTTTAAATATTCATAAAACATGACCAAGTATTATCTAACCTTTAATTAAAATGCTTTTTTACTTCTATTCTTCATTTAGTATATGTAAGAGAATGATAATCCCTTTCTTCATGATTAAGTACGAGCATTAGCGAGGGATTATCATTCTCTTACAAACTTAGAATATTGTAAAGTGCTCAAGGCCCAAATGATCTATTCAAGAATTAGTTTCATTGTCAGTGCAATGTTTATAATTGATGAATGACTTCTTTTTTGGGCATGTCATTTATGGATTAGTTTTAGTGATGTAAGGACTTTCATATCATTTTTTTTAAAGCCATATAGATATTAGGTGACACAACAGTAGAAAGAAAAGGTAGGAATTGGATATGTTTCTTGATTGTGAGTATGAATGTAAATCATGTAATATTTTAGTGAGGAATTATCCTTTTTTTATTTACAGTTTAAATCAATTAATACATTTGAGTTACAACTAAATTTTATTTCACAGCCAATATTTTGGTCCGGCTTTTTACATCAAATAATATTTCATTATTTCAGGGAAATGTTCAAAAATAATGCCTTTAAAAGTTTTTAATATGTTCAAAATTAAATTCCTGTTTTTTTTTATATAAATATTGGAAATAACTATTCTTCCCAACCACTGATCAAGTAATCAAAGTTTTTGAAAGCTAAACATTTAGGTTATTTTTTTATCTGAAAGATTTTTTTCTTTTTTTGCTTTGCTTTGGTATTGTTTAATTTTTTTAGTAATTTGAAGTTATTAATATTTTCGTAATAACATTCACGGTACAAATTTTACTGCACCAGTTAACTTCAACTTATTTTGAGATTTTTGTTTGTTTCACAATCCAACTTTTAGTCAGTTTCAATCACTGTGTGATAAATCCTTCCAATCTGATAAATGTGCTTCGGGGCAGTTGTAACTCATTTATAGAAACTCTTTGTTTTGAACTGTAAATAGACCCAAATAATAAGATAATCCCTTACTAAGAACATGATTTACATTCATTCTTCACAATTAAGAGGCACCCAATCCTACAATTTCATTGGTTGAGAGCACTTTGCTATATTCTAATGATAACTAGACAAACAACAGTGCTCATGATTTTGTTCTTTTGCTCTCTTCCTATGGAAATTGCCTCTCCCCGGGGATTGTACATTTCGTTAGTGCAGTTTTTAAGAGTTCACTTTCATAATTAATCTGCAATGAAAAGTCATTCATGCGTAGCATTTTATAGCGCATGGAAAGCCACACTGTAAAAGTCGTGCTTAGAAATTAAACACTTGTATTACATGTTTAGATCTAAACGTGTTTAGGATTGTGTTTAATTTCTAAACATATTTCTCAGTAAGCACATAATATCTAAACATGTCTTGAATTTAAACACTTTTAATGTGTTTAAAAATGAAAGTGTTTAGAAATTAAACACTTATTTCTAAGCTAAACACGATTCTAAACACAATCCTAAACACATTGTACTGAGACACGTTTAGATCTAAACATGTAAAAAAAAGTGCACAAAAGATGTGCTTAGAAATGTGTTTAGGATCTAAACACCATTTTTACAGTGCATGAACTATGAAAAATAGAAGGGAAAACACTGATTTTCCATTGGACGAGAATGGGTGAGTATGTTCTAAAGACGTTATATCTGACTCTATGCGATCTTGTCATATAATGGTAATGTTCTTATTCTTTTGTCAGTGTCGTCCAATCGCATATCGGTTCAGTGAACAATACTCATTTATTTATTTGTAAACTATTATTATCCTTAGTTTAGAGATAAGGGAAGGAAACGACTAGGTTATTCAAGCAATTCACTTAAAGCGTGTCGAAAGTTAAGAACATCATCAGTTGTTATCTTATTGGGTTACAGATCAGACTTGAAAAGTACAAACTGAATTAAAATCAAAAGATTGAAGAAATAAAAAAACAAACTTTTAAGATATGTACAATTTTATTGAAACTTTCAAATTGCATATTAACAATTGATTCAAATTTCAGATTAATATGTATTTCTGCACATCAGGCTATCCGAACTGTGACGAAAATGAGTATATACTAGCTATTTCTATAGATGTAATACAAACTTCACTTGTTGGAAATATTTCTAATTGGGATGGTATACAATGCAAGGCTGACTACAACTCTAAAATAACAGACGACAGTTGCAGGTATGGCAATTTAGTTGCATGTCGAGATATAAAATGATGCAATCCAAGAACCCGCATCATTGTCCCTTTTGTCTTTTAATAGATGTGAAAAAGGCTCTCTGTACGACCTCCAACAATGAGCAAAACTCCTACCATATCATAAAAGTTCAAAACATCAGGAGAAAATGTGAAAAAATACTAACGGGCTGATTTATACTAAAGCTATAAACGAAAAATAATGATAGAAGACGGTAACCAAAGACAACCACTGGATTACAGGCCCCTAGCTAGCATGACACATGCACATAAAAAATATGGAGTAATTAGACATGTCTGTGAGCGCTCAATCCTTCCCAATCTTGCACAGCGGCGTAACAACACAAAAAAAGAACAAACAGAAAAAAAAATGAGTTTGAACGGACTTTAGATCGATTATAAGCACAAAACAGGTAACAAAAGGAAAGTACAAAATACACAAAGTATTTATTTGAGAGTACTCGCAGTTAGACTCAAATTTCGACAAAAAATAAGCCATATTTTTTGGACTGAAATATTTATCCGTACACCTTAAACGGATTTAGACGAAATAACCACTATAAGAAAAGCGTGTCATTGTGCAATGCAAAAATCTAGGCATCGGCAGGATTTAGGATCATCAATGTTAAAAATTGGATAGAAAACATGGCTAGTTACACTTCAAACTATTTAGCATGAAGTCAATGTAAGAACCATTAAAACTATATTCAAAGATCTTACTACAACGTTACATTGATAACTTATTCAAAAGACCAAATAAGTTTACATGGATCGCATCTCAATATATATACGATAGATATAATTAACAAGTTTCATAATCATGCACGGCTCGTGTATGTAACAACGTATTTGATTTTTACGAAACAAATCTCTGTATTTCTGAAAAATTATAACATCAGGGTTTTTGATATCACAAACAAGTCAAAACATTTACTTAATTTTATCATCGGTACAAGGACATCATTCGTAAATATAAATCAACATGCAGACATCTTATACGTTCAGGTATTTCACATCCAATCGTTTATGGTAATATTCTATACAAAGCACAAAAATGTTGTCATTCACCTCAAAAGCTAACCAAACCTTTAAACAGACTTATTCAGAAGGAATATAGTTACGATACTGTTGTCAGGTCATTCAAGATGGCATATTTTGGAATTAATATTGATTCACTCATAGGGTCCTTGCATTGGAAATAAACACATTTATTCTAAAACCAGTTGTTGGCATGATTCGGGTTATGTTCTTCTCATATATTTTATGATGGTATGATGCTAACCCCCCTAACGTGCTTGATTTTCATATGATGAAGACATAATCTTTCAATCAGTTTAATTGATGTCTGGAGCTGGCGTGTCAGTAACTGCTAGTAGTCCTTTGTTAATTTATGTATCATTGTCATTTTGCTTAGTTTCTTCTGTTACCTATTCTGACGTCGGACTCGGACTTCTTTTAAACTGAGTTTTACTGTGCGTATAGCTGTGTATTTGTTTATTCCACATTGGCTAGAGGTATAGGGGAGTGTTGAGATCTCACAAAACATATTTAACCCCGCCGCATTTTAGCGCCTGTCCCAAGTCGGGAGCCTCTGGCCTTTGTTAGTCTTGTATGTTTTTTTACATGTTAGTTCATTTATATGTTACGGAGGTTAGTGTGACGTCCATTTTCACTTAACTAGTACACATTTTTGTTTAGGGGCCAGCTGCAGCCCGCCTCCTGGTGCGGGATTTTCTCGCTGTGTTGAAGACCCATTGGTGGCCTTGAGCTGTTTACTGCTCTTTGGTCGGGTTGTTGTCTCTTTGACACATTCCCCATTTCCATTCTCAATTTTATCTCCTTATTTTTATATTGTGTATGCCACCTGGGATTTGAATGAACAATTCATTACTAGTATGTAGCTAATTTCCTGCTGTTTTTTTTAATTGTTTTTATTTATCAAGAATTCTTTTTTCTGTTCTCTTCGAAACAAATTACGTTTTATTAAGAAATTAGAATAAAATAATTCACAAACAAACAAAATATTAACGGCCGGTGCTTAAATGATCTATCTATAATCGAATGTTTTTATCACTTTGCATAAAAAAATGTTTTTTAAGCTGCTATATATATGAAAAACTCTAGTTTTACTATCTCGTCTATTTAACTAGTTCTACTAAGCATCGATCTCCGACAGTAAAACCTACGTTTACGTAGGTTAAGATATAATAAGGTACAATACATTTATTTCCTTGATTTTGAGTATACGTCAATATGATAAAGAAAAAGAATACCACCCGATCCTTTTGGTGTTTTTCGTCGATTTCTTTCACTTAGTTACGTACTTTTGCATTAAAAATGTTTACAACTCAGTTTTTTCTAGTAAATTGTGGCACGATGTTTTTGTAAACAGTTGCGCTTTGAAAAAATACAATTTTTACTTCATTTAACTGCTCTGTTGAAAGAAGTAACGAATTATGTATTCTGATTTGCCATGGAATAAGACATTTTATAATACACTTATACCTTTTTAATGTCTAACATGGCATTTACGTCCGCGTCAATAAGTCTCTTTGAAAATGAAGAGCATTTTCAAAACTTTCGCCTCAAAATGAAAAGAACTTACCGCCATTTACCACATTATTGTTAATGACGTTTTTATCCAAAAAAAGTCGTTTCGGTGTACGCTTTTGAAAATGCTAGTATTCTCTGAATGTATTGGATAATGAAACGGTGAAATGATCTACCATGGCTACGCTGACTGAAGTTATTTCGTATAATTCCTGAAATTCCAAATTGAAGTCTAACCATTTAATACAAAAACATTTTTATCGCGTTGACGACAATAATACATGTAATGATTATCGCTGAATATTTTCAGGACTTTCGCCCCATATATATTATTTTTCACTGTTTATTAGAGTTCAATATGGTTCCACTTCGTTTCTGTCCCTCTAGCGGGAAAAAACAAGATGGTTCCGACTGCTCTGATTCGTATGGAGAAGATGGGATGTGAGGAAAACGACAAGACAGCAACCAAATAACGCACCATGACAAAATATACATGATATGTGATGGAAATAGATAATATCATATCATACAACATTGGTATTACATGTATTTTAGTATAAAAATAAAGAGATGTAGTTATCTTTAAAAGAAGTATGCTTTTTCTATATGAATTGGTTAATGAACTTCGAATAAAACATTGTATAATGAATCATAACCTATTATTTCCAGTTTTATAGGAGACACTATCAATATAGTTAACAGACAAATTGAGATAAGTAAAAATCAAGATAGACAGTTCAACATAGTTGAACAAGGTGGTAAGTATATTACTTATAAAACAACAAATGATTGTTCCATATATCGGACTTTATCCTGTCACGTGTGTCCATTAGGCTCGAGATAAGAAGTTCAATTGGTTCATTTGCTGCAACTTCTGAAAGAGACCAATAAAGACTTAATAATTTTTGGGGCCCTTTATAGCTTACTGTTCGGTGTGAGCCAAGGCTCCGTGTTGAAGACCGTACTTTGACCTATAATGGTTTACTTTTATAAATTTTGACTTGGATGGAGAGTTGTCTCATTGGCACTCATACCACATCTTCTTATATCTAATTAATGGCAGACAAGAATGCCCTTCTTTTTCTCTTTGTTGACAACTTGTTCTTTGTTCACCTTGATCTCAATGTCAAATTGTTTGCTTCTAATGTAGTTAGCTTTTCATGCTTGTGTTTGTTGTTGCGATTTCATAAATTAAACAAAATAACCAAACACAGACAAATATTGTGCAAATATCATTTCAATTGTTGGAATTTTAGGAATTCAATAATGAAAAAATTAAGTTATCTTTAAAAGTAGACGTGTCCTCTTACCCGAACCCCTCTGTTACGGACGTACATAAACAAACAAAATGTTAAGTTACCCGAACCCCTCTGTTACGGACGTATCTATACAAACAAAATGTTAAGTTATCTTTAAAAGTAGACGTGTCCTCTTACCCGAACCCATCTGTTACGGACGAACATATACAAACAAAATGTTAAAGGAGTAGGTCAGGTAAGGGCCGATTATGGCCTCAAAATTCAGGTTCATCTGAAGAAAGATTTTGGACACTTTTTAAACACTCAAGTGTCTAATTCAGTCGATTCAATTAGTTTATGTGAATGATTTGAACTGATTTAGTCATTAAAGACGCTCAAATTCAAGCTTAAATATGAAAAATCTATCAAATATGCCATAATATGTCACTTTTCAGAAATGAAAGTGGCCGCATCCGTGTTCATTCTCAACCTTCATATATGTTATGTATTATCATCAAATACAACTTGCATTTAAATATTAAGAATGGACACAAATGCGGCCACTTCCATTTCAGACTGAAACCGTCTAAAAATTAACCAAAATGCTAAAATTTCGAAGATTTCAGTAATTTAGCATGACTTGATGATGCTAGTACCCAATAAATGTGCATTGTATTGTCAAAAACAGCCCATATTTATGTAACAGAAGTATTCTTCTTTCCAATAAATAGCTAAAAATTTACATTTTAACAATTTTGTAAAACTGCTATATTTTGTGGCAAAAAAAGGGTCTTACTGGGCCTACTCCTTTAGACGGTATAATATTTTAACATAATGTTCTTTTAATTTTCAGGAAACCCCATATCAGCAAACCATCTTTTCGTTGTGGGCGTTTACAGTAAGTATATATGGAAGTAGTATAGCTATATTGTAATAATTTGATATGCTATTTGTATGGTGGTCTGGTTTCTTTTTATTTTCTAAATTTCAAGTATAAACGGACAATTTTAGTAATGTTTGTTATAAATCCTGTAAGTACCAAAGTATTGACTACTGAGGTGATGATAGTTTTACCCTCGAGGACTGATAGTCCACCAGCAGCTAACTGTTTTTATAGTAAGGAATTGGTTAACATGACAGTTGTCGGTTGGGAAGTTAGGCAACAATTCTATATGATAAGGTTGTCTATGCTCGATATATAACATCATTTGTCGGGTAATCAGTATCCAGGACCATTGTTGGGCATTGTTATGATATGAGGGCTTGAATTAACATAGACAGCATGTATTGATGGTAGGGTGACTGTCCTGAGTTACACTGTATTGATGGTAGGGTGACTGTCCTGAGTTACACTGTATTGATGGTAGGGTGACTGTCCTGAGTTACATTGTATTGATGGTAGGGTGGCTGTCCTGAGTTACACTGTATTGATGGTAGGGTGGCTGTCCTGAGTTACACTGTATTGATGGTAGGGTGACTGTCCTGAGTTACACTGTATTGATGGTAGGGCGACTGTCCTGAGTTACACTGTATTGATGGTAGGGTGGCTGTCCTGAGTTACATTGTATTGACGGTAGGGTGACTGTCCTGAGTTACATTGTATTGATGGTAGGGTGACTGTCCTGAGTTACAATGTATTGATGGTAGGGTGACTGTCCTGAGTTACACTGTATTGATGGTAGGGTGACTGTCCTGAGTTACACTGTATTGATGGTAGGGTGACTGTCCTGAGTTACATTGTATTGATGGTAGGGTGACTGTCCTGAGTTACATGTAACAAATATATTAATCTCCTTTTCGCATCCTCAGTTTTATCTGAAATTTTAAGTTTGTCATGTTTCTGATTTCTTGTGGTTTCATATGAAAATAACCTTTTTAAATCAAGGTAAAATGTGAATTTGAAGGAGATAGCTTTGTGTTTGGGATGCATGTGAACTTAAAAATCCTTAGAAATGTGAAATATTTCAAATAACTTTTCTACGTATGGTCTATTACTAGAAAAAGTTATAGAAAAGACAGACAACAACAGTGACAAAAAGAAAACAAGACAAAAAGACAAATCAGTTCCATAATGCATCAGAAAGAAAACTATTGATTGAACAACACGAACTCCATAGAAAACTTGGGCCGAAATCAGCAGCTGGAAGGGTTACAAGTCTCAAAAATCCTTGTTAAAACAGCAACGGGAAAACGGCAAAACAGAATTAAATGAGCCTAACAACGCTTGAGATATCGTTACGGGAATAAATATTTTTAATATATTTCAGATGAAACTGTTTGCGCTTGTGATTGTGTTTACTTTGATAAAATGGAAATGTTTAAAAACCAAACTCGAGAGAAAAAGTCTATGGAGAAACTGAAGGAAGAAATGGCACCGGAGTTAGCAGAAATGAAAAAGAACTTGACTGTTGATCCCAAAACAATGTCATCATTTCTAAATACAAAAGTCAGCAAAGGCGACGAGCGGAAATCGTCGAAACAGATTGGTGTGTTAGGAATTGTTTTTCTGACCATCGAAGTGTGTGCACTTGTATTAGCAGATCTGATATCATTTAGACAACACTGGGCAATGATCCGTGATAATTGGAACGGCTTTCTAGCGCGGTTTTAACTTATGAAGAAACATGACCATCGAATAAGTCATGTTTTGTTGACAAAACAATTATAAAAGCCGTGTATACATGAGTGCGTGTTTAAGTTTTTGTTATTTATATTTGGTTTGTTAGACAAAGGTACGTCTGGTGTTTAAACTTAATGTTCACAAATTTAGACGTGCTGTAAAACACTTAAGATTGTGACGTGCTGTAAAACACTTAAGATTGTGACGCCTGTAAAACACTTCAGATTATGAGAATATTGTATTACTTCACCTCTTATATAGAAGTTGATATAAGAAAATATTTTGAACACATATTTCTGGGAAAATTCTTTAGATATAAAAGAGACATATAATACAATTATTATATGTCTCTGGATATACCTTTTCGTTTATGAATTTTTGATATCATTTTTGTCACCTGGAAAAGTTGCTGACATCAAGGACTGTTAGTATAAAAGTCCCAGTACTTACGGGACTGAAAGCCGTTATACCAATCAGTGTAATTGTAGTGTTAGTATAATAGTCCCAGCTGACATCAACTTCTGATATTTAATTTTATTGTAAGCTAAACAAAGTATGACATTTTAGAAAGACAGACAACTCAGAGAGATAATAAATGTCAGCAAAAAGCATAATGAGGAAAAAATGATATTCTATTAGAAATTTGTCTTCTTTCCAACTGTTTTGAGTTCATATGAAAATGTTCACTATCTTGAGGTATGTAATGGCAAATAAAAAAAGAACCCGAAAATAGTATATATATTTTGAAAAGAGTTGTACAATTTTTTGTTTGAAGTTTAGATAATTCATTTCTGAAAAAAGAGATTTGTTTAAAAAAATAAACAACTGGTCAAAGAAGGGGTATTTAAATTTCAAAACAGATTTCTGTTTAGAACCAAACCGTTTGAAATTAAAACTGGTCACATTAGTAAATTGAGGGTGCGTAACATTAAGTTTCCCGTTAAAACCTGGTGATGGAGAAATATAGAGTATTGAGAAAATTTGTTCAATTTGTGGAACTGGTCTTGGGGATGCTTTATATTTTTATATATGTGTATGTAAAATTATTGTAGTAAAAGATTGAGAGAAGTTTATACCTCTACAATGTATATCATACCAAATATCATAAAAGGGTGCTTGGTATGCTAAAATTTCGTAATAACAATTTGTTGTATAGGATATAACTTTTTAACCAAACGGTAGAAAAGATGCTACTTAAAGTTAACTTTTTTTTTATATATAATGTCTTTATTTTTGACAATGTTGTTTATTGGCAATTTGTACAGTTTATCTTTGATCCTACTGCCTAATATTTGTTTAGATCATGGACAGGACTAGATACTTGTAAATATTAGGCAATGTCATCATGTATCAGTGCAGCAACGTCCCGTGGTCATATCAATCCGCGTCAATTTATCAATGAAATGCACGCAATTTCATTGATACAACTGAACAACTATCACAAGATATTGTACACATGAACTAATCCATTTTATTTCATATTCTCAACCAAAAAAACTTAGTTCTAAGACAAATTGCTGAAAAAAAGAATAATGACATTTTATTTTTTGATACAAACTTCATCATCTTGAATATCAGCTCGCCCTTGCAGGTTCGTTTGATATTCTTGCTGATTAAGTCAGTACCAAAAACAAAAATGTCATTATTCTATATGTATTAAACTTACTACTTATTTTATGAAGTATGTGGTGTTATATATTTAGTAAGGTGCTCTTACTACCCAGTCTTCTATGGCTGTGTTTTTCTTAATAAACCATGAAACTATGTAGACTATTAATTTTACCATTACCATCCTTTTGGGTTTCGAAATTCCTTTTTTTTTGGTTAGTGGTCTGCTCAATAATGTTTGAAAAGTCTATTGAGTTATGGTGCCTTTTCAAAAATGTGTAACTTTGCTTTGTCTGCAGGTTAGACCTCTGAAATGCGTTTATTCATGCCATGGGCAGTGTATAATATTTGTATAAAGCTTCATTTTTTAGAAGGTGGAAGAACTGGATATTAGGTATCTTGTATACAAATGCCTTTTGGTCTAATCCTTCTCACTCCGGCAAATGTCTGTTGTTCTTTGTCTTTTGGTCTAATCCTTCTCACTCCGGCAAATGTCTGTTGTTCTTTGTCTTTTGGTCTAATCCTTCTCACTCCGGCAAATGTCTGTTGTTCTTTGTCTTTTGGTCTAATGCTTCTCAATCCGGCAAATGTCTGTTGTTCCTTGCCTTTTGGTCTAATGCTTCTCACTCCGGCAAATGTCTGTTGTTCTTTGTCTTTTGGTCTAATCCTTCTCACTCCGGCAAATGTCTGTTGTTCTTTGTCTTTTGGTCTAATCCTTCTCACTCCGGCAAATGTCTGTTGTTCTTTGTCTTTTGGTCTAATCCTTCTAACTCCGGCATATGTCTGTTGTTCTTTGTCTTTTGGTCTAATCCTTCTCACTCCAGCATATGTCTGTTGTTCCTTGCCTTTTGGTCTAATGCTTCTCACTCCGGCAAATGTCTGTTGTTCTTTGTCTTTTGGTCTAATCCTTCTCACTCCAGCATATGTCTGTTGTTCCTTGCCTTTTGGTCTAATGCTTCTCACTCCGGCAAATGTCTGTTGTTCCTTGCCTTTTGGTCTAATCCTTCTCACTCCGGCATATGTCTGTTGTTCCTTGCCTTTTGGTCTAATCCATCTCACTCCGGCATATGTCTGTTGTGCTTTGCCTTTTGGTCTAATGCTTCTCACTCCGGCATATGTCTGTTGTTCTTTGCCTTTTGGTCTAATCCTTCTCACTCCGGCATATGTCTGTTGTGCTTTGCCTTTTGGTCTAATCCTTCTCACTCCAGCATATGTCTGTTGCTCCTTGCCTATTGGTCTAATGCTTCTCACTCCAGCATATGTCTGTTGTTCCTTGCCTTTTGGTCTAATCCTTCTCACTCCGGCATATGTCTGTTGTTCCTTGCCTTTTGGTCTAATCCTTCTCACTCCGGCATATGTCTGTTGTGCTTTGCCTTTTGGTCTAATCCTTCTCACTCCGGCATATGTCTGTTGTTCTTTGCCTTTTGGTCTAATGCTTCTCACTCCGGCATATGTCTGTTGTTCCTTGCCTTTTGGTCTAATCCTTCTCACTCCGGCATATGTCTGTTGTGCTTTGTCTTTTGGTCTAATCCTTCTCACTCCGGCATATGTCTGTTGTGCTTTGCCTTTTGGTCTAATGCTTCTCACTCCGACATATTTCTGTTGTTCCTTGCCTTTTGGTCTAATCCTTCTCACTCCAGCATATGTCTGTTGTGCTTTGCCTTTTGGTCTAATGCTTCTCACTCCGGCATATGTCTGTTGTTCCTTGCCTTTTGGTCTAATCCTTCTCACTCCAGCAAATGTCTGTTGTTCTTTGTCTTTTGGTCTAATCTTTCTCACTCCGGCATATGTCTGTTGTTCTTTGCCTTTTGGTCTAATCCTTCTCACTCCAGCATATGTCTGTTGTGCTTTGCCTTTTGGTATAATCCTTCTCACTCCGGCATAAGTCTGTTGTGCTTTGCCTTTTGGTCTAATCCTTCTCACTCCGGCATATGTCTGTTGTTCTTTGTCTTTTGGTCTAATCCTTCTCACTCCGGCAAATGTCTGTTGTTCTTTGTCTTTTGGTCTAATGCTTCTCACTCCGGCAAATGTCTGTTGTTCCTTGCCTTTTGGTCTAATGCTTCTCACTCCGGCAAATGTCTGTTGTTCTTTGTCTTTTGGTCTAATCCTTCTCACTCCGGCAAATGTCTGTTGTTCTTTGTCTTTTGGTCTAATCCTTCTCACTCCGGCAAATGTCTGTTGTTCTTTGTCTTTTGGTCTAATCCTTCTAACTCCGGCATATGTCTGTTGTTCTTTGTCTTTTGGTCTAATCCTTCTCACTCCAGCATATGTCTGTTGTTCCTTGCCTTTTGGTCTAATGCTTCTCACTCCGGCAAATGTCTGTTGTTCTTTGTCTTTTGGTCTAATCCTTCTCACTCCAGCATATGTCTGTTGTTCCTAGCCTTTTGGTCTAATCCTTCTCACTCCGGCAAATGTCTGTTGTTCTTTGTCTTTTGGTCTAATCCTTCTCACTCCAGCATATGTCTGTTGTTCCTTGCCTTTTGGTCTAATGCTTCTCACTCCGGCAAATGTCTGTTGTTCCTTGCCTTTTGGTCTAATCCTTCTCACTCCGGCATATGTCTGTTGTTCCTTGCCTTTTGGTCTAATCCATCTCACTCCGGCATATGTCTGTTGTGCTTTGCCTTTTGGTCTAATGCTTCTCACTCTGGCATATGTCTGTTGTTCTTTGCCTTTTGGTCTAATCCTTCTCACTCCGGCATATGTCTGTTGTGCTTTGCCTTTTGGTCTAATCCTTCTCACTCCAGCATATGTCTGTTGCTCCTTGCCTATTGGTCTAATGCTTCTCACTCCAGCATATGTCTGTTGTTCCTTGCCTTTTGGTCTAATCCTTCTCACTCCGGCATATGTCTGTTGTTCCTTGCCTTTTGGTCTAATCCTTCTCACTCCGGGATATGTCTGTTGTGCTTTGCCTTTTGGTCTAATCCTTCTCACTCCGGCATATGTCTGTTGTTCTTTGCCTTTTGGTCTAATGCTTCTCACTCCGGCATATGTCTGTTGTTCCTTGCCTTTTGGTCTAATCCTTCTCACTCCGGCATATGTCTGTTGTGCTTTGTCTTTTGGTCTAATCCTTCTCACTCCGGCATATGTCTGTTGTGCTTTGCCTTTTGGTCTAATGCTTCTCACTCCGACATATTTCTGTTGTTCCTTGCCTTTTGGTCTAATCCTTCTCACTCCAGCATATGTCTGTTGTGCTTTGCCTTTTGGTCTAATGCTTCTCACTCCGGCATATGTCTGTTGTTCCTTGCCTTTTGGTCTAATCCTTCTCACTCCAGCAAATGTCTGTTGTTCTTTGTCTTTTGGTCTAATCTTTCTCACTCCGGCATATGTCTGTTGTTCTTTGCCTTTTGGTCTAATCCTTCTCACTCCAGCATATGTCTGTTGTGCTTTGCCTTTTGGTATAATCCTTCTCACTCCGGCATAAGTCTGTTGTGCTTTGCCTTTTGGTCTAATCCTTCTCACTCCGGCATATGTCTGTTGTGCTTTGCCTTTTGGTCTAATCCTTCTCACTCCGGCATATGTCTGTTGTCCTTGATCTATTGATTATAGCCCAAAGACAGAAAAAAACCATCAATAATATTCAAGGTGTTACTTTTAGTAAGTTGTTAGAAATTTTAATAAATATTAATAAATATCTGTATTTCGTCACAATATATATATAGATATAAGAAGATGTGGTATGAGTGCCAATGAGACAACTCTCCATCCAAGTCAAAATTTATAAAAGTAAACCATTATAGGTCAAAGTACGGTCTTCAACACGGAGCCTTGGCTCTCACCAAACAGCAAGCTATAAAGGGCCCCAAAAATTACTAGTGTAAAACCATTCAAACGGGAAAACCAACAGTCTAATCTATATAAATAACGAGAAAAGAGAAACACTTATGAACCACATCAACAAAAAACAACTACTGAACATCAGATTCCTGACTTAGGACAGGTGCAAACAAATGCAGCGGGTTTAAACAATTTAATGGTACCAAACCTTCACCCTTTTTCTGAAACATTAGTGTAACATCACAACATAGAAAGACACTATAAAATATCAACTGAAATAGCTTAACTCAATCAAAGGACATATTAACACCAGTGAACATACACTGAACAAATAAATTTGACCTATGATACAATGTAAACACAAAATAAATAAACTAAGGGAAGAATAATAAAAGTAGCATGTTATAGCCTTTTTGAGCTGTTGAGGCATAAAGCAAACATCAATCAATCATGTATTTGGTGTCGGAAATCATTAAAGGGTTTACCAGACCTAAACTTTTTTCATGGTACATTGACCAACATCCAAAGATATAGATAAATTATAATTGATCTAGAGAACCATTGTTATTGGTAAATTTTCCTCTAAGTTCACCTGAATTAGACCTAATTTTCATAGTTTATTTATCAACTTAACTTTTCGCAATGTGATAAGTTTCAGTTACTGAGAATAATAGGTGTTCTTTTAAAAATTATAATATTAATCACATGTCCATCTGACAGGGTTTACCGGACCTCTAACTCATTTCCATTTTTTTCGAAAATGTAACATTTTCATAATTAGTTCAGCTGCTGAATTACTTTATGTAAGAGGTCAATTATATTAGGTCTACAGAATCATTATAATTTGAAAATATATGACTGAAATGGATATCTGAATACCTCATGTTAATTGTTCACTAACCAATATCAAGTTTTCGCAGTAAGGTGATCTTTTACAATGTCATGTGAAATAGATCAACTATAAAGGGTCAATAAAATAATTGTCTGATTAAACTTTGCAAGTAGAAGTCAACAAGCTATGGAGAATTTTTGCTGATGAAATCCATGTTTTTTATACTGATACTAATATAGCCCCTTAAGTCTGGCAGTATGTCTTTATCCTTAGCTACTTTTTCATTTGCTAAACACTACATGATTCTATAAATAATACCCTTACTGGCTATGACATCTATCAGCCATAAGAAACATTTGATGGCATTGTCCAAGTAAAAGGAAATACTTGTATCTCCTAATAACAAATTACAACATTTATACACCCCCAGGACACTTTAGATGGTATGGTTTAAAGTAAAGGAAATATTATTATCTTCGAAAAATAACACACTAAGACATCGATCAGCCTTATGAGACTTCTGATAACATGGCCTAAGGCAAAGAAAATACCAATGTATCTTTATAACACCTCAGGACATGAATAAGTCCTATGAATATAGATGTCCTCAGGCATTTTTGAAGGCATGATCTTAAGACATAGAAATACCAATATCTCTCAATATTATTCTAGGCTATGTCCTTGTAAGAAATATTTTCAATCATAGGACTATATAGAATTTTACTGTCATAAATATGACCTCAAAAATCAATAAAATATCACAAAAACTGTTTTTTTAAATATTTTTAATGGATGGAATATATATGTTTCACTTATGTTCATTACTTGATCACAGTGTTAACATCCCACAATTCATTGCTCTCAATGACAGTTATATGAAAACAAAATGGAGTCACCACCTGAATATCAAAAGCATTCAGAACTGAAACAATATATACATATACTTCTTCTATGTAGTTTTAAATTAAGAATAAAATATTACAGACTGAGTTGCTTGCAGTGATAAAAAAGTTGCAACTCTCTCCAGAAAAGTGTCAATTCATGTCAAGCATCTGATTCATGTTACATTTTTTCAATAGGAAAAAGTTAGCTCATCTTTGAAAGGTTTCAATTATGCCAATTGCCTTTTCCCACATGCAATGATTTATGTGTATCTTTACTAATGTAAAGCTATAAATAATTCTGTATCATCTTTTTTTTTGGACACAAACAGATGTTTTATGCATTTAGATTTAAAAAATTTGAACATGAGTAATGAGTCTATGAAGATTTTCCAGAAAATGTTGTGTGAACTAAAACTTATATCATAGAAATATAAAAAAAATAATATTCTTTAACATATAATGGATCTATCCTTCTCAAGGTATTAGGACAAATATAACTAGTTTGAGATAAGGGTTTGTTCAATAGTAGATTTTAAGGATTTGGTAAAAAAAGTAAAACATTGCCGACACAGTTCTTGTTAGGATTTTTTGTTTACAAAAAGATATGGATCTGACTGAATAAGAAAAAAATTGCATTCTGCTATATACATCACCAGTATAATTGACATTGTAAATATCCTGTTTCACTGAAGACATTTGATACAAATATACTGTACAATTACTTACAACTTGACATTCCTTCAAAATAAATGGATTTTAACACTACATATAAAGATAAATTTTCAACACAAGAAAATTTAACACATAAATCATATCTGATTAAAAATAGTGAATACATAGTTTGTGACCATATAGACGAAGAAATTAGCTCAAGATGAAAAACTGTCGCTGGCAGTGACAGACGTAATAATATTTACACACTTAAAAAGAGTCAATATTTATAAAAAATGGAAAGTGGCATATCCAAAAGAAGCAGAAGAAATTGAGTGAATAAGTTCATCTTATAATACTTATTTGTAATCAATATAAATTATATATTCCAATTGCACTTATAAATTTGGTAAACTTTAAAGATATTGATAATGTAACAATGTTTTCACCTTCTGACAATAAGTTTATTAACAATTTGTACAGGAGAGAATAAAAATCACAAAAAAGAATAACTTTTTTCAAAAATGCAACAACTGAAATAGTTGATAAAAAAAAAACAGTTTGATCTTTGTGCTTTTGTATTTTTATAGTTTCTATGTAATTACCTTGTTTATAATTTCTTATGAACTAACTACATCTTTGAAAATAAATCAATCACAAACATTTCCAACTTACAGTAATAATAATTTGGTTGGGAAATTATTTTTTTATGATTAATAAGTTAAAAGTTATATACAAGTTATCATAAGAAATGATTAACATTTTTTTTTATGTAATTGTAATTTTTTTTACGAAATCAAATAATGAAATATGACTTCACATTTTTTTTATAACATAGTAATGATACTATTATTAGAAGGTAAACCATCTATTTGGTTTTTAAATAAAGAAAATAAAATCTGGTTAATTAGAAATTTCTTTGGTTTGATATGTATTAAATTTGAAGTCAAAATTTCAAGAAATATTTACTAGCATATGACTATCCAAAAAATAATTTAAAAAAACAACATTTTTCATGGATAATTGAGACAATTTCACAATGTATTTTCAATCTTTACTCAAAGACTGCATGCAGCAAGATTAAAATTGAATATATATATAAATCAATGCACCTTAAGAAAGTATAATTTTAATTTGAAAAAATTCTTTGGAATGACATTACAACATGATATAAGGGAACTCTCTTCGGCATATAAACTTAAAAATATTGCATTATAAAAACAAACTATGACCTGCATTTTATATTAATGACCAAAACAGCAAACAGAAACATTAACATATCTGATTAAAATATCGCCTGTTTGATGAAATCATATAGATAATAGCTAAACTTTCATATTAAATGGTATATGTTAAAACTAACTTGGGAATATGGAATCAATTAGGATGGAGTATTGATTATATAAATATGTTATAAATTATAAATGTGAAACTTTAATTCAAAATTGATTATATACTGTATTATGACCCGTGTAAAATTACAGAAATACTATTTCGTCACTGTCAATTGAAGTTTGATGTCCAAATTTAATTAGTTTACATACAATCATGAAAGGACACAATGCTGGATATAAATTATATAAGGAAAAGAACCAGAGTGACACTTTGCTCCATTATATTCAATATAATCACAAAATTATTCTCTCTATAACATTCAATCATGCATATCACATGAAAGGCTATGAAATCTCAAAGGAATTTTTCATGCATGAGTAGTTATTCTCATAAAAATGTCAGGAAGTAAATTGAAGAAAATTCAAATAAATATTTGATTATGGACAGAAGTGAACTATTAAGAAATAAAAGCACTGAAAGTGCTGTAAGCCAGGCAATGTGACTTGATCACCAAATGCATCATATCCATACATGTAAATACACATGTTTTATTCAAGGCAGTTGTTAGAGGCTCTCATTTCAGGTTTTAGAGGGATATACATACAACTTGAATAAAGGTCTGGGTCTTATGTAGACCTTGTTTTAGCAGGTAGATGTTAAATGAATCATAATCAAGTTAAGTAAACTTTCCTTGTATTCAAAAATGCCAAACAGATAAAAGACAGATGGAACAGTCTCATCAAGAGTTTATTTTGCAGATGAAGTTAACCCATATTAAAATCTGAATCAATCGTATGGAAGATATTATTTTTTATCAATTAGACTGGGACAATTAACAAAAAAAAATGTCATGTAAACTGCACTATAGTCCTCAAGCACAGCCATATAGTTAACCAGTGGGGAAATGAAAATGGATTGGGTTAAATGAATATCAAATTAAGCAATAAAAGAGTTACAATAACCATGAAGACTGAAAAGTCTTGATTGTCGGTTTCCTTATTTTTCAAATGTCTAGTACACATCACTGTCATCAGTTTTAAGAACTTAATATTTTCTTTACATAGCAGAATTCATTAGATTCATTTATTACTAACTACTGTGATTAGAAATTTACAGAGATGCTGTAAGAAACATTCCAACTAAGACTGTTCAAATAAAACAGGAAATTTAAGAGAAAATGATGTACAATGGATAGACAAATAAATACTTTGAGTTATATCAATATGTTGTAAATGTGCAGAAAAAATAGTGTGTTCCAAGAGTTTAATGAATTCAAAAGTACATCAAAAATAATAAAGATTACAATTAATATTGACTTATATAAATGGAACTAAAAATCACAGAAACCCAGGATTGTCTTTTTTCTGTTTTGTCTGCTTTTTGGCAATTTTTTTTTTTCATTTCGATTCTGTATAACAGAAATTATTTGTAACATTAGATAAAAAATGGGATAAAAATAATGATTCAGCATATGGATACCTCTATTTTAATCAGAACTTTGTTTTCTATTAACTACAACAGGCAAGTAATTCCAAATTTTTTTCCTATTGCAATTAGCAATTTTTTATATAAAAAAATTTGGTGTTTCATACAGAACAAATTTTCATACTTTATACATTTATACATGAAAATAGATTGACTGTTAAATACATATAGCACTATGTGTCCAATAAAACATGAAATATATATTACAACTGTAGAGTAAATCTTCCTTCCATTCTAAAGAAGTCATCAGAAGGGAGACAACTCATATAACATTATAGCACACTTGTCCTGTTACACAACACTGAATACTATGACTCATCGACTGATTTAAGCTCTTTAATTTGTTTAATAAGATATGCTTTTTCATCGTTGAATTGTTCGTCATCTGATCGTTCTGTGTGAAATTTCGTTAAAAAGTCAACAAGCTTTTCTTTGTTCCTAAGTAATATATCCAATATTGGCTTTGGTTTATTTGGATTTGCTACAAACACCTGCAAAAGAAATGATGATATAAAGAAAACTTTCTTTGAAGTCTAATTGCCTGAATATGTAGTAAATGGAATTCAGGTAGAATATTATATATACAATTAAGCCTTTGTATGAGGTTGATACAAGGATATATCGACCTGAAAGAAGTACATTGACTAAAGACAAAGTCTGAGGTTGATATACTTCTTTAGGTAGACATATCCTCGTATCGACCTCATACAAATGCTACAATTATTATTTTCAATATATCTGAAATAGAGCAGAAATTCATTTGATTGGTTGTCATGATTGTGTCACAAAGGATTGAGGTTTTTAGATTTAAATTATTAGATATTTTAAAAATAACTGCGCAATATCACTTTTCTATCTGCAGTTTTCAGTCTTCCTATGAAAAAAGTGTTAAACATGTGACTTGATCTAACAAATCAAATTAGTTAGATTATACAAAATAATAATAACACAAATAAAATGCTTCGCTGGGCGCAGCTTGATACGACCGCAGAGGTCGAACCCTGAACAGTTGGGGCAAGTATGGACACAACATTCAAGCTTGATACAGCTCTGAATTTGGATTGTGATTAAATATTTGACACAGCATAGGTTCTGACACAGAAAGAATGTGGTCTAAGAACTTCAATTTTTTTAATTTACCTATTATGGTCCAATGTCCAAAATCAAAATACATGGTTAGATTCAGCATATCAAAGAACCCCATATATTCAATTTTTGTTGAAATCAAACAAAGTTTAATTTTGGACCCCAACTTGAACAAACTTGAAAACTGGTCCCATAATCAAAAATCTAAACACATGTTTAGATTCAGCATATCAAAGTACCCCAAGAATTCAATTTTTGTTAAAATCAAACTAAGTTTAATTTTGGACCCTTTGGACCTTAATGTAGACCAATTTAAAAAACGGGACCCAAAATTAAAAATCTAAAAACACGGTTAGATTTGGCATATCAAAGAACCCCAATAATTCAATTTTTGATGAAATCAAACAAAGTTTAATTTTGGACCCTTTTGACCTCAATATGAACCAATTTGATAGCGAGCCCACAAAATAAAAAATCTAAATACATGGTAAGATTCAGCATATCAAAGAACCCCATATATTCAATTTTTGTTGAAATCAAACAAAGTTTAATTTTGGACCCCAATTTGGACCAACTTGAAAACTGGGCCAAAAATCTAAAATCTAAATACATGTTTAGATTCAGCATATCAAAGAACCCCATATATTCAATTTTTGTTGAAATCAAACAAAGTTTAATTTTGGACCCCAATTTGGACCAACTTGAAAACTGGGCCAAAAATCTAAAATCTAAATACATGTTTAGATTCAGCATATCAAAGAACCCCATATATTCAATTTTTGTTGAAATCAAACAAAGTTTAATTTTGGACCCCAACTTGGACCAACTTGAAAACTGGACCCATAATCAAAAATCTAAACACATGTTTAGATTCAGCATATCAAAGTACCCCAAGAATTCAATTTTTGTTAAAATCAAACTAAGTTTAATTTTGGACCCTTTGGACCTTAATGTAGACCAATTTAAAAACGGGACCCAAAATTAAAAATCTAAATACACGGTTAGATTTGGCATATCAAAGAACCCCAATAATTCAATTTTTGATGAAATCAAACAAAGTTTAATTTTGGACCCTTTTGACCTCAATATGAACCAATTTGATAGCGGGTCCACAAATAAAAAATCGAAATACATGGTTAGATTCAGCATATCAAAGAACCCCAAGAATTCAATTTTTGATGAAATCAAACAAAGTTTAATTTTGGACCCTTTTGACCTCAATGTGGACTGAGTTGATAACGGGGCCCAAAAATCAAAAATCTAAATACATGGTTAGATTCAGCATATCAAAGAACCCCATATATTCAATTTTTGTTGAAATCAAACAAAGTTTAATTTTGGACCCCGATTTGGACCAACTTGAAAACTGGGCCCATAATCAAAAATCTAAATACATGTTTAGATTCAGCATATCAAAGTACCCTAAAAATTCAATTTTTGTTAAAATCAAACTAAGTTTAATTTTGGACCCTTTTGACCTTAATGTAGACCAATTTGAAAACAGAACCAAAAATTAAGAATCTAAATACACGGTTAGATTCGGCATATCAAAGAACCCCAATAATTCAATTTTTGATGAAATCAAACAAAGTTAAATTTTGGACCCTTTGGACCTCAATGTGGACCAATTTAAAAACGGGGCCCAAAATCCAAAAACTTAATACACGGTTAGATTCAGCAAATTAAAGAACCCCAAGAATTCAAGAATAAAACCCCATTGAAATTGATCAAGAAATAAGCAATTTATACGAAGTATCTTCTTTTGCACAATACTGTGCAATTGAATATTTCTTGCTATTGTGCAATACTGTACAATTGACAATTTCTTGCTATTGCGCAATATTGTGCTATTGGATATTTCTTGCTATTGCGCAATACTGTGCAATTGAAGATTTCTTGCTATTGCGCAATACTGTGCAATTGAAGATTTCTTGCAATTGTGCAATACTGTGCAATTGAAAATTTCTTGCTATTGCACAATACTTATTATATAATAATTTACACATCCTGTTTGGTGTGTATCTCCTACCATATCATTATTATTTGCTTTTAAATATAAATCAGAAATAACCAACTTAAAATGGAAAATTTTAAAAGAAAAAAAAAAGGAAAAAAAGAAAAAAAAAGAAAAAAAAAAATTCCCCCCCCCAAATTTTTTGAACCCCCTTATGATTCATCACCCCCAAACTCAATCCCAGCCTTTCCTTTGTGGTATGGTACCTTGCAGTACAATTTCAGAGAGATCCATACACTTGAACACAAGTTATTGTCTGGAAACTAGAAAAATGCTTATTTTTGGCCCCTTTTTGGCCCCCAATTCCTAAACGTTTCGGGCAATTACCCCCAAACTCAATTCCAGCTTTCCCTTTGTGATATGGAACCTTGTAGTACAATTTCAGAAATATCCAAACACTTACACACAAGTTATTGTCATGAAACTAGAAAAATGCTTGTTTTTTGCCCCTTTTTTGGCCCCTAATTCCTAAAATTTTGAGGCAATTACCCCCAAAATCAATTACAGCCTTCCCTTTGTGATATGGAACCTTGTGGTACAATGTCAGAGAGATTCATACACTTACACACAAGTTATTGTCTGGAAGTTACAAAAATGCTTATTTTGGCCCCTTTTTGGCCCCTAATTCTTTAACTGTTGGTACCATAACCCCCAAAATCAATCCCCACCTTCCTTTCGTGGTATTGAACCTTATGGTAAAATTTCATGGAGATCCATTCACTTAAACTAAAGTTAGAGTGCGAAAACCAATGTGTCTTCGGACGACGCCGGACGACGCCAGACGACGACGACGACGACGACGCCAACGTCATACCAATATACGACCAAAAAATTTTCAATTTTTGCGGTCGTATAAAAATTGGTAAAAATCATTATTTAAGGACAAGAAGTCAACTGACGATTTTGGCAATGCTTTATTATTGTAGATCTTGTCTTGCTGATCATTTTTTACTATTTGAAGTTTCTCTCTATCTATTAGAGTTTTCAAGATAATAGGCAAAAACGTAAAAATGGGTAAAATCGTCATTATAGGACAATAACACATATATAAGTCGTCTGACAGTTTGCATATAAATGGATAGCAGTTGGATCTCAACAATCTGAATGATTGTGTGTGTGTCAGAATTTCTCTATCTATAGCTTTATATAGTTTTCAAGATAATAGACCAAACTGTGTTTTACACCTATGTTCTATCTTTAGCCATGTTGGTTGGCAGGTGGGGTCATCAGACAATTTTTTTAAAAAAGATACTCCAATGAAGATTGTTGCTAAGTTTGGTTCAATTTGGCCAGTAGTTTCAGAGAAGATTTTTGTAAAAGAAAACAGATGGATGTCAAGTGATGATAAAAAGTGTGCATCACCTACTTTACCAAATTTAATGTTGATATTTTTTTGGAGCAATTTCTTACTATAGGTATCACAAATGATCCATGAAAACTAGGTCAGGGTCAAATGAACCCTGTGTAACAGACATGAATACCCTACAATGATTTTATACAAACAAAATAGTTGACTTGTTACTTATAGTTAATGAGATTCTGACATAATCATGGAAAATAAACATTGACAAATAAACCATAGTTGACTTATTTCTGGTATTGGTATAACTGACATCATAAAGAAAACTTGCTAGCTTTGACCAAAAATTTGTAAGGGGTTCCCTGGAACCCTGTGTCTCGCCTATGATTGCTGCTGTCAGTGTAAAAGTGTAATGTTGACTTAAAAAGGGAGTCCATTCATCAATAAAAACTGCTTCGCTGAGCGCAGCTAGATACGCCCGCAGAGGTCCAACCCTGAACAGTTGGGGCAAAAATGGACACAATATTCAAGCTTGATTCAGGTCTGAATTTGGATTGTAATTTAATATTTGACATATTATAGGTTTCTGATTAAATGTAGTCGAAGAACTTGAAATTGGTTATATGAATTGAATTTATATTCAATTAAAGATTTCTTGCTGTTGTGCAATACTTAGTATATCTGTTGTCAGACTATAAACAAATAAAGTTCAATTAATTCTCAATGTCATATTAGAAATTTATGAAGTAAAAAAGGGAGCTTACATCAATACATACAAACAATTCACCAAAGTTTCATAAGAATTGCTGAAAGCATTTTTGAGTTTTTGTCCGAAAACTGGAAAATCCCCCCTTTTTTTATGAATAAAACCCTGTAACTCGGAACGTAAAATCTAAAATTTATAAAAATCGAAAGGGAGCTCATGTCAATAGATATAAACAATTCACCACAATTATCTTGCAAGTTGGTGAAAGCATTCTTGACTTATTGTCCGAAAATTGGAAAATCACCCTTTTTTTAATGAATAAAACCCCATAACTCGGAAATGTTAAATCTAAATTTTATAAAAAACAAAAGGAGCTCACGTCAATAGATATAAACAATTCACCAAAGTTTTATGCAAATTGGTGAAAGCATTTTTGAGTTAATGTCCGACATGTTGACGACGGACAACGGTATACCATAATGCATCCCGTAAACGGGCGTATAAAAAAATTCAGAATTTAAAAAAAATATCACTTTCTCTTTAGATGCTATTTCTTTGTCTTGAAGATTAGCTTTTGTCCAAGATTCATAACAATCCATGAAGGTTAACAAACTTATCATGTCAAAAAACTTTAATCCAAGACTGTCCATCTATCAGAAAAATACTGAAAATGAAAATATATTTTCAAAAGTTTGCTTCAGACATTATCCCTTAATCATAAAAAAAGTTTCCTAAAATTCTATGAATTGACAAAGTATTTGATGTGTAACAAACTTTAACCCCAGACTGTATCTACTTGTTAATTGTAAAAAAAACTAAGTCCATTTATCAGTAAAATACAGAAAAATAAAAATAATTATTTTCAAAATTTTTTCTCTGGATACTGTATTTTGGTCATTAAAAAGCTTCTGTCCAAATTTCATATAATTCCATGAAGGTTTGACAAAGTTAATGATGACTGAAAAACTTTAACCTCAGGCTGAATCTGAAAATTAAGTGTTAAAGAAACTAAGTCCAATTATCAGTAAAATACGGAAAAATGAAAATAAATATTTTTAAAATTTTGCCCTGGATACTGCGGCTCTTTTCACAAAAAATCTAAAGAGTAAAAATACTCGTAAGTCATACACATTTCAGTATAACTTATGATCAATTTTAATCGTAAGATTTTTTGTGAAAAGAGTTGCTGTATTTTGATCATAAACAAGCTTCTGTCCAAATTTCATATAATTCCATGAAGGTTTGGCAAAGTTATTGATGTCTTAAAAAAACTTTAACCACAGACTGAACCTAAATGTTGATGCCCTGACGGAATCTAGGATCGCTATGTCTCGCTTTTGCGAAATAATTTTCGCAGGCTCGACAATAAACAGTGAAAATGAGGTCAAAGTCAGGTAAACTCTGACAGACATACATGTACATCTTACAATCATTCTATACACTGAATATAGCGACCTATGTCTTATAGTAACTGAGAAGATGACATAATAACAATGTTAAGAATCACTGAACCTAGAAATGAGGTCAAGGTCAGGTGATCATGCCAAGTTTCATTTCAAATCTCTTAGGGGTTTAAAAGATAAAGATAGAATTGAGAATGGAAACAGGGAATGTGTCAAAGAGACAACAACCTGACCAAAGAGCAGAAAACATCCCAAGGCGACTAATGGGTCTTCAACCCAGCAAGAAAATCCGGCACCTAGAGGTGGGCTTCAGCTGGCCCCTAAACAATAATGTATACTAGATTAGGGAAATGGACGCCACACTAAAGTCCGACACATATAAATGAAACAAAATTTAAAAAAACACACACACAAGACTAACATAGGCAATATTTTTGTACTTATGCATAGGAACGGCTAAGTTAAACTGACTATCACTATGTGAGTTTTTGTTCCTTGCTTTGGGTTTTATCATGTTCAAGTAGTGTTTATGTCCTGTATGAATACACCATATCTTTTCTTTTATTTTATCATTGTTATAACATATTTCTTATAACCAAGTAAAGTAACAGGATTCTGTATTATTTCTTAATCTGACAATAACTGTAAATTCAGAAATTATTGCGAGGTTTCTATCAATGCGAATAATGTGACTAGTTGAGTTTTGCAATAATAAGAACTCACATTCTGATATCTGATACATATATCTGTATTCAGATTTTCCTGAAATCGCATTAAATAATCTTGAATTTTTGTCCATTCTTCAAAAATTGCAATAATAAAATGCAAGCAATAATTTCTTAATTTACAGTACATTCAAGTTTTAAGTGTAGTGGAAAAACAGTTTGATGCTAAGAAGAAACATGCTTTTCGGATGAACTGAATGTCAAATAAGCCTGTTACAGCAGTCTGTTTAGGAATGCTTAAACCGACTATATGATTTCTTTAAAAGCTTACTATGAATGAATTCATATATTGATTAATCTTTCTTTTAAACAGTGTAAATTATCAGTTCCATATTGCTTTTCTATTGTGACAATGAAATTTATTAGAGGAATATATAAATTATAAATGAATTTTTATGGCCATAAAGTGCTATAATGGTAGCCAAGGATTCAGGCATATTCAATGCATATACCTTAAATACATGGAAAGCTTCAAACTGAATGTTTCGGCTTTTCTCCCTCAACATGTTCATCATTAGTTTTAGATTATCTGGATTGGAAATGTACTTTGTCATCGTGGTGAAATTATGTCTGTCTAACAGTAACTCTCCTAACAACTACAAAATAAAAACACAAGAAATATATGGCATGTCTTAAAACACACATGAATATATGGCTTTTTAACAATTGAAAATAAATGTGGAAAGTGTCCACATGTGGACACAGATGATGCCCCCGCTTGCATATCATATAGTTATAAAGGGACATAACTGAAGAACGGTAAAAGTGATGCTACCCAAATTTGAAATTGATCTGAGTTTTGTGGTAATAAGCATTGTGTTTAAGTTTCATAACATTTGGTTGAGGCAAACTTAAGTTGAGAACAGAAACTAAAAATTCAGCAATTTTTCCATTTGTAAACACGCATAACTCTAGAACAGTTGTGTATAAGTTTTATAACATTTGGTTGAGACAAACTAAAAAATTCAGCAATTTTTATGTTTATAAAGGGACATAACTCAAGAATGGTAAAAGTGTCGGCACCTTATTTCGTACTTAATCTGTATTATGTAGTAATATGCATTGTGTATAAGTTTCATAACATTTGGTTGAGGCAAACTAAAGTTAGAAAACGGAAACAAAAAATTTGTACTTGATCTTAGTTTTGTGGTAATGAATATTGTGTATAGGTTTCATAATGTTTGGTTGGGGCAAACTTAAGTTACAGAATGGAAACTAAAAAATTTGCAATCTTTCCATTTATAAAGGGGCATTACTCAATAATGGTTAAAGTGACACTACCAAGATTCAACTAGATTTGTGTTTTATCAGTGGAGGTCAAATTAAACATTGCATTGTATAAAGCATTGATTGTAGTTGATTCAAATATAATCAAATATAATCATGGACAAAGGAAGATAACTCCAATTTTAAAACTAACTTGATATTAAGAAGAAAATAAAAATTTTGCAATTTTTCCTTTTATAAAGGGGCATAACTCTAGAACGGTTAAAGTGACGCCACAAAATTCAAACTCGATCTGTGTTTTGTGGTAATAAGCATTGTGTATAAGTTTCATAACATTTGGTTGAGGCAAACTTAAGTTAGAGAACGGAAACTAAAAATTTTGCAATTTTTCCATTTATAAAGGGGCATAACTCTAGAACAGTTAAAGTGACGCCACCAAAATTCAAACTTGATCTGTGTTTTGTGGTAATAAGCATTGTGTATAAGTTTCATAACATTTGGTTGAGGCAAATTTAAGTTAGAGAACGGAAACTAAAAATTTGCAATTTTTCCATTTATAAAGGGGCATAACTCTAGAACGGTTAGAGTGACGCCACCAAAATTCAAACTTGATCTGTGTTTTGTGGTAATAAGCATTGTGTATAAGTTTCATAACATTTGTTTGAGGCAAACTCAAGTTAGAGAACGGAAACCAATTTCGGGACGTACGGACGGACGTACGTACGTACGTACAGACGGACAAGGGTAAAACTTAATGCCTCCACCGCTACGGCGGGGGCATAAAAAATAATTGGGGAATGTGTCCATGGGACACAGATGATGCCCCCGCTTGCATATCATTTAAAGTTATAAAGGGACATAACTGAAGAACGATAAAAGTGACGCTACCTAAATTTGTACTTGATCTGAGTTTTGTGGTAATAAGTATTGTGTATAAGTTTCATAAAATTTGGTTGAGGCAAACTTAAGTTAGAGAACGGAAACGAAAAATTCAGCAATGTTTCCATTTGTAAAGGGGCATAACTCTAGAACAGTTTAAGTGATGCCACCAAAATTCGAACTTGATCTGTGTTTTGTGGTAATAAGCATTGTGTATAAGTTTCATAACATTTGGTTGAGGCAAACTAAAGTTAGAGAACGGAAACCAAATTTGGGACGTACGTATGTACGTACAGATGGACAAGGGTAAAACTTAATGCCCCCTCTGCTACGGCGGGGGCACAAAAATGATTAAAAAACCTAGATGTATAAGTCAACACAAATTCCCCTATCTACAGCCTTATAGTAAAAAGTAAATTTCTGGGAATTCTTGTGCATATGTATATATATATATATTTTGAGCAGATCCCAATATGCATACTCAGTCAGTACTTATAACCATACATACATACATAAACAAATGAGTAAGAACAATGACCATTCTATTGATTAACATATTTGTTCACGTTTAAGTATGATGACCCCAACTAAGATTTCAAATTCATGTAGTCAATTCAAATCAACTTAAAACCAAAACCAAAGGTTTTTTTTTGGCTAGGAAAGTCATCAGTTCCAATATAATTAATAAACGGTCTTAATTCAGTACATATTTTTAATTTATAAGTTTAAGAGGCATATACATAATTCCATTAACAGTCCAGCTTAAAGCTCCAGATTACTGTTAATTCAGAAATGTTTCCCTGAATTTTTTACTGCAAATGTTGAACAATATACACACATGCAAGATAAGTTATTGTGATTTAAAGAAATGCTGCACAGAAATAATATCAAATTCAAAATGCGAGGTTTTATTTAGAGAAACCTATACTGTTGCATGTTATTTGACGAAACAGTAAATAAAACACAAACTTTATTCTAGATACCCTAAGCATCATTCAGCTTAAGTTTGGTTGGAATGGGTTCAGTAGTTCCTTCGGAACGGTGAGCTAAAAAAGTTCTACCAGAAGAAAATGAAAACAAATTGCACTATCTCAGTATGAAAAACTTGAAATCAGGTCATGTGTACTCTAAAGGCATTATACAGGAACATTTCACTTCAGATTAATTTAACCTGTATGAATTTCATAGATTTTTACCTGGTCTTTTGATTCTGAGAATAACCCCATGTATTTAATACGAAACTGTTTATAACATCCCTTAAAACAATTATCTGAATCTGAATTTTAGTTGAATTTTATTAAGGAATGTGTAAATCCCAAGATATGAATGTTGAACAGGGATCTCTATGCATTATCATCACGTCAGTTGAAGGTTTCTTTAATTTGCTTTCAATAGATTCCATATTTGGAATTTGCAAAGTAAACTACAAACTGACGGTGCACTTGCACACTATTGTGTGAGGCACTTGCACAAATAATTAATGCTGATACAAACAAAGTAATACATTTAATAGGGTTTTTTGGTTTCATAAATTGTCGTTTAGCTGAGTAAGATTTTTTAATGAATTTAAAATAAACCGTTGACACAGAGATACATCTCGCCTTAATGTAATTTTGATAGTATAATGTAAATGTTAAAATTGAAATGGCAATACTTAAACATGTGATCTTTGCAAAATATTTGAAGTCAATGAACCATAACTGAAGGTCCAGGGCCAAATAACCTTCATGGAAATGAGAAATGACAATGCTGTTAAAACTGGATATCAAATACCATTGACTTATCATAAGATGTTCCCTTTAAAATTTCCTTGACACAAATTTTATCATGTAAACTATACAAAAGTTTAAAAGTCAATGAACCATGATGAGGAGGGTGTGGCCATAGTGGTTCATCTTTAATAAACTGACATTATCATTATTTTTGGAGTGTTAAAAATTCTTTAGAGGTTTTAGATAAAATACATGCTTTTGATGGTCCTTTTAATTCTGTTGACAGTTATGATTTTTCTACTCTCTATACTACACTTCCACACAATCTTATCAAGAAAAAGTTTTCATATTTAATTAAATGGTCTTTTGAAAAATCTCTTTACAAATTTATTTCCTGTAACTCGTTTAAAGCCTTTTTCTGTAACGAAAAAGGAAAGTATGCTAGAAACACTTACTGGAAATGTGAAGATATGATTGAAGCTTTAAATTTTCTCCTGGACAACATATATGTACGTTTCGGCGATAGAATGTATCGACAGGTAGTAGGTATTCCTATGGGCACTAACTGCGCCCCTTTAATAGCAGATTTATTCCTGTATTGCTATGAATCTCAGTTTATGACCAAACTCAGTAAAGACACGTCATTGTTACATTTGGTTGATACATTCAACAATACCTTCCGTTATCTAGATGATATTTTTTCGTTAAATAATCCAGAGTTCTCTAAATATACTACCGAAATTTACCCAATAGAACTTACTTTAACTAAACCTAACATAAACAGCAGTAGTTGTCCTTTTCTGGATTTGGACATTTCAATCTCTAAAGGAAAACTTCATACGAAAATTTACAACAAAAGAGACGATTTTTCATTCCCTATTGTTAATTTTTCTTTTTTAGACGGCGATGTTCCTTTGACTCCATCATACGGTGTATATATATCCCAACTCGTTCGTTATGCCCGTGTGTGTAGTGATGTCATAGATTTTAACGAACGTAATCAATGCATCACTGGTAAATTATTAAATCAAGGATTTCGTTACCATAAATTACGTAAAACTTTTGCTTTCATAGATACAAAGATTTGATTAGTAAATTTGGCTGTACTTGTAGAAAACTGATTAAAAACGGTATTTCACATCCTAAATTTTACGGTAATAATGTACTTAAAGCACGGAAATCACTATGTGATCCGTGTAAACTCATCGAACCTTTAAACAGGCTCATTAGTAAAGGTTATCTTACCAATGTTGTAATTAGATCTTTGAATATAGTTTACATTGGCACTAATATCGATTTTGTCATCAGCAAATTAAAACATAACTTAATTTGTATTTTTTTTCAAGTGGGATGTATAAAGACACACCCACGTTCGTTTAGATCTATAAAGAGGTTAAACTCCTAACTATCCTACTGTCTGTCGATACATTTATTTTTGGCATTGCACTAGTCATGTCTTCTTTGACTGTCCATGACGTTAAAATACTAAATCCCTGGGATGTGTTTTAGTTGATTTTAGTCTCTGATGCATGATTTTTTATTATTAATTGTTTTGGCTTTTAACTAGCTGTCAGTAACTGCGAGTACTCTCAAATCGTACTTTCTTGTTTATTTGACCTGTTGATACTAATTGTATTGCTTTTTTGTTATTTAATGTTATTCAGGGTTATATCTGGTCTATATACCAGCTTTGATAAGTGTTTGGTATAACTATAAATTTTTACTTCGTACTATGAACATTAAAATTATTTATTTTGTAAAAGTATTTCCTTTCTCTA